AAAAAAAAACCCCAACTATCAAACTTTTCCCACTAGACTTTTTGAATGCTAAAATTGGGCTCTGATGGGACTTAGCAAATTTTCTAAGTTTACTGCCAAACATTACACCTTTTATATATACATTTGTATACAGGAAACCATTAGGAAAGAGAAATATTTTTCAAGCAGTTGGTAGATATCAAACTCCTTATTAACTAAATTCAAGTATTAATATTCAAAAATAAACTATTAAATCTAGAAAGTCGGTTCAACATGACACCTTATATTAGACTACTTTACTTAAGACATTGTCATACTACACTTCTTTAAACATTGTACGCTTGGTACCTCTTATTCAAAGTTAAAACTCACCATTCTGATTTTCTAACCTTTAATTAACAGTGATCACCTTCTTTAGTCTCTATCCCCAAACTACCCCTCGTTTGTCCATATAATAAATGCACCGTTTCCCTACCACTCTGCATTCTTACAGCAGACGCACATCCAGAGAAACTCAGAACACTGACAAAGCTTGAGCCTTTGGGTTTCTTTTGGAGAGAAAAGAGGGTTCTCTGTTTTGAAGATGTCCAAGGAAGTGCGTGAAGAAGGGCAGAGCCATGGCAAGGACTACGTAGACCCACCACCAGCACCGCTCATTGATGTGACTGAGCTCAAGCGCTGGTCTTTTTACAGAGCTCTCATAGCCGAGTTCATAGCTACCCTGCTCTTCCTCTATGTGACAGTGGCTACCGTTGTCGGTGAGCTCAAGCAGACCATAGACTGTAATGGAGTTGGCCGTCTGGGTATTGCGTGGGCTTTTGGTGGCATGATCTTCATTCTTGTTTACTGCACCGCTGGTATCTCAGGTAAGAAGAGAAACAGAGCTAAAAAAGAAACCACCTTTGCTTTTTGGGTTCTGTTTTCTTGGTTAATGGGCTTTGGTTGTAGGTGGTCACATTAACCCTGCGGTGACTTTTGGTTTGTTTTTGGCCCGGAAGGTGTCGTTGATCAGGGCAGTGGCTTACATGGTGGCTCAGTGCTTGGGTGCTATCTGTGGAGTTGGGTTGGTCAAGGCTTTCATGAAGCATGACTACAACCACGTCGGTGGTGGTGCTAACTCTGTCTCCGCTGGATACAGCAAGGGAGCTGCCCTGGGAGCAGAGATTATTGGCACTTTTGTGCTTGTCTACACAGTCTTCTCAGCCACTGACCCCAAGAGAAACGCCCGTGACTCTTACGTTCCTGTATGTACCTCCGCCGTTTCTAGCTCAAGTAAAATTAGTTCCTTAGGCGAAGAAAAAGTGACTTATGGTTTGTTTGGTGTAGGTTTTGGCTCCTCTTCCAATTGGGTTTGCTGTGTTCATGGTGCATTTGGCCACCATCCCCATCACTGGTACCGGCATCAACCCTGCCAGGAGCTTCGGCGCTGCTGTCATCTACAACAATGGAAAAGTCTGGGATGATCATGTATGTCTATATATTTCCACCAAGAAACATTTTTTCCTATCTTTTCTATGATTTTTTTTAATTTTTTTTTGGGTTTGCTTAAATTAACATGTTTGTGTGATTTCAGTGGATTTTCTGGGTTGGTCCCTTCATCGGAGCACTGGCGGCCGCTGCATACCACCAGTACATTCTCAGAGCAGCAGCAATCAAGGCATTGGGATCCTTCCGCAGCAACCGCTCCAACTAAAACAAGAACGTCAAAAACCTAAATAGCTGTGTCTTCGCTCTTGTTAATTTGTTAGTTTTTGGCGTATGAAGAGGGTGATTATGATGCCTACCTCTTTCCCCTTTATATTATGATTTAATCTTTTGATGTTAATTTACCTAAATTGGTGGACCTGTGAATCATATATTGTTCTTGATTAATTAATGGTGTTAATTTCCTTCCATTTTCATGATCATTATACATGTGCAGAACATATTCATCTTCTTTAGCATGATCCCATTTGTTTTTTTCTCATGCAATTTTACAACAGCACTATCTTAATGTTGCCCCAAATTGACAGAAAACTCTTGTATAGAGTGAGTAATATGAACCAGATGGTCCAGACCCAGCACCTGAGCCATAGTATAGGGTCATGGTTATTGCCTCGCAAATAATTGTTAATGTATACAAAATATTAGTTATTTTATTAATTAATAATGAGTAATTATAACTATCAATTACTTTTAATAGCAAACGAAAACAAAACTATGATGTTTTTATGACCGAGGTTCCATTACCATGGTGGATCATCATGAGTTAGGGTGACATGGACCAAACAAAAGCATGGTGTTTTTATGGCCAGAGGTTCATTGACATAGACCATCATGTGTTATGGTGACATGAACCATCATGAGTTAGGGTTAGGGTTTAGAGAGTCCAATAGTGTAATGCTACGTATACCTGAAAAAGTACCTGGGGAGGATCAAAGATTCTCTCATTTCACCTCTAGCTCGAGGAGAAACCTTTGCTGCGTTGTCAAATTGTCAATTGGTCTTGTTCTCCTGATTTTGGACTAGAGTCCAACAAAGGGGGTTAACAGGGAGGACTATGTGGGACCGTGACAACTCAGTAATTTCCACGTGTCATAAAATCATGGGTTTACATGGCAGGGCCTCACATGGAGGTGGGGTAGCTAAGTCTGCCCAATTCATCTTTATCTTGTCAAAGGAACAGTTTTCTAATTTCCCCGGAAAGAGAAAAGATAAAAAGGTAAAGGAGACTGCTTTTACTAAATTTCAGTTTTTGGAAGGGCTTAAAAATTAAATAAGAGACTCGTCTTTTTATGATGGTCTACATGGTCATACCTGCCACCTTCTGGACCACTGGACTCGAGCATTGGTGGTCCTGACCACAGAGCCTGGAAATCACGAGCCTAGTAAATGCCGTTTGCCTCGGGCCTCAGTTCAAAATCAGAGTCACAGGTTGGGTGGACATTTGGGTTCAAAAATCTGGTAATCAGGGTTCTAGTATTTCCCCTTTTAACAACTCGAGTAGGGCTCATGGGGAATGTTTGGTGCACCATCCACCAGAAAGTTACCCACCAATCTCCTACTTCTCTGCATGTGTTCTACTTGCAAATTAAATGCAACTTAAACATGATTACTGAACGAAAAAGGGTTTTCTTCCCCGTTATTTCTCCGGAAAATAAGCAAAGATAAGGTACAGAGAGGTCTGATGATTTTTTCGGGTACTAGTCTTCAATACAAAGTTATGATTGCAAGCCATTCATTGTTTGTAACTCTTGTTCAGGCAACTGTGATAACAAATTAGTATGTTCTTGTATCCAACCATGGGAGAATCGGCAGGGTATTGCTTGAATATGCTTCTCCGAAGGAGGCCTCGAGGATTGCACGCTACAAAGCTTGGATAATCGTGATAAACTACCCATGTAGGAACCTGCAACAAGCAATAACCAAGTTACAAACAATTATCAGGAATGGTATTTGTAATTTGTGATCAATATACGAGCTAAGTTTGCAATCATTAAGAGTGGAAAATACCAAAGATCTCAAACAATGCAAACAAACACATGGAAGAATTAAGATTGTGTTCCATATTTATGCATGTTGGATTATAGTTCATTGTATGAAATGACAAAATTGAAATTAAGATTACTTCCATATTCATCCTGGTATGAAATCACAGATCAATCAAAGTCATGCTGCCTAACAAAAGTTGATAATAGGCAAATGGAAAAGGAAAACACCATGGTCTATATTTCAATCTCTATTTTTAATATTTCACCCAGTACCAGAGTCATCATAATTCAGTGAACCTGGAAATAAAGTTGAATACCTATTGGAAAGAAAAAAGGAAAAAGAAAGCCCACATACAGTTACAGATTCAGAGGCAAGAAATGCTATGGGATTCAAACAAGGTCACAATGTCAACAAATGAGCAATACCTCAGTCGGGTAATGCTGTTCCTCTCTCAAGATTGTTCTTGATTTCCAGTGTGTATTTACCAAATGCCCTCTCAATCTTTTTGTTAAAGTGCTCATTTCTGTCATTGATTGAATCAATATCCTTCTCTTCATGGAACCTTCTCCTCCTGCTAAATGACTTGCGGTTTTCATCCCGGTCCTTGAGTTCCTTCACCATCTTCTCAATCTTGTCTTCAGAAATCTTTGGTGCCTGCATGATAAAAGGAAAGTGGAATCAAAGTCCTTAAAATTCTCGTTCAGAGAACAACCATCACTCCCTAAAATTTTGTATGCAGGAATCACCTTCCCATATTGGAGGCTTGAGGCTTCACGATAAAACTCTGGATCAGCTTCTTTCATTCTGTTATATTCTTCTAGGTCAACCTCAACATTTTTTGTCCGCTTCTTGTATGCATTATACAATGTTTTCTGGTTGAAGACTGTTAAAACCATTAAAAAAACAGGATTAACAAGAAAAAAACAGCAACCAGAACATCTAATCAACACCCACCTCCCCAAACTAAATGGGGTAAATCTAAAGATGCAATTGAAGAAAAGTAGATCTTATTCTTTGCATACCATCCCAACCAAATGGAGCAGGATCCTTTTCCCATTTCTTATACTTTGCTTCAGCTGCCTCTTGTGTATCTAACATATATGCCTTCTTCATATCCAGACCGTTTGCGTCCAGAAGTTTTCCTATCTTTTTCTTCCTCTCGTCAATCCATTTTTGTTTAGAAATTCCCCTAGATTCTGGAGGAGCTTCCATTCTTTTCTTTTCAGCAACCATTGCTGTTTGATTTGCTTTTCTTGCCTCATTCTGGAAGTGCATAGTAATAAAACTCAATCAGCCTTTTGAAGAAACTTCAACCTAGAAGTAAATAAAGAATAAAAAAGAAAAAGACACTTGCTAGGGTTGGCCAAATGATAAGGAATGATGTAAACCATGCTCGAAACACAGATTCATATCCCTCCATCACCATTTCAGTAAAGAAAACAATTCTAACGGACCATGCATGCCACCCCTTAGGTGGAGCCTTGCCCAGAAGAGATGAAAATGGACCAGCGCCTTTTCAGAAATTAAATCAAATACCATATAATGGAGCTTATAATTAAAAAATTAACCAATCAACCAACCATCTTAAGTCTCAAATCAAACAATCTTTTCTGCCTTCCAGTAAGTTTTGTAATGTCAACTTCAGTATTCTCCTCAGTTGGGTGGTCTTTGTCACTATCAGAATTTTCTTCTGGACCTGGTTCTTCATCATGCACATCTTGATCTTGTGTAGGAGCATCCACAGCAGGTTGGCCACTTCCACTCTTAGATTGTGTAATTTCTGTTACAGCATATCCAATTGTTAAACTCATTAAGAAAAAAAATAAAAACTATATGAAAAGAGAAATTATATAAAAGCCACTAGAACAGAACATCATAAATTTACAACAAAATATTTAATGTTCCATTTAAATATTAAGCCCTGAGTTCAATGACTTGAATTTCCACATAGAAGAACAAACTTCTTGTATAATTAGAGTGAAAGGTACATCAACACTACCATGTTTACCACATAATGCGCTAGAACTTTACGGGACCTAATAGGTTTGACATAAACATCTGAATATGTCACACAAGGCCCAAAGGTGGATTAGGTCACAAATTCTAATAAGGTTATAATTCTTTGACTTACACAAGACCTCTTGAATGTCCTACAGTAAACTAACAAACAATTAAAGAATAAAACTCAAGAAAGCTAACATATGAGGCAAAGGGTCATATGGTAGGAGGCAAGAGGAGATGGGGAAAAACAGAACAGCATAACCAAAAAATTATTTATATCCAAAATAACAATGATAAAAGATACTTCACAGTTCACACGCCGTAAAAGTCTGTATAGTAGCAGCACGAAATCTACCTGTTCCATCTTTTTCCTTACACGCCTTGGCTTCAGCTATCTTTCTAAAGCAATATTCAACACATTCATGGTAAGGATTGGATGCATTAATACAATCTGGGTGGACTCTTCTTTCTTCTTCCATCTATTCAGCTAACCTTTTTCTTCTCCTCCAATCCACACCCCTGAACCTGGCAGCACCCTGCAGCCTGCACTTCAAACGAATAGGCCACTACACTGATTCCAGTTTTTTTCTTTTTCTTTAACTACCCCATTAAAATATCAATCAATCTTTCAGGTTTTGAATTCAAAATGATGATGGATTTAACAATTTAATGCAATTTAAAAACATCGTAAAAATTGGTAATCCAAAAGCTCAAGTGCTAAAATTGAAGTTAAAATTTTTGCTGCCTAGAACTCAATAAAGCTGGGATCTTATCCTCCTCAAAAACATGAATTAAAAAAAAAAAAATCCTTTGAGCATCTTTCTGATTCTTTTCTTTTCACATTCGGATTCCCAACAACGAAACTAAAATTAACAAACCCAGGAAACGTAAAGATTGTAGAACAACAGAAGACAAGATCTAGAAACGATAAGATGAAATCTAGAAAAGTAAAGTAACGAACCTGCTTAAGGAATTGTCTGGATCGCTTTTCTCCTTGCTCTCTCTATGGTTTCGTTTGGCGGAAAAAGGACACAGAGACGGTCTGAGTTCTGTTTTCCGCGAACCGGTGTATAAACCAAGTACAAACAAAATAATTTCTTGTTAAATTATTATTAAATTTTATAAAAAGAGGAATAAAATCCAGATTTTTATGTTTTTTACTGCAATTTAACAACTGAAAATTACTAGACATTGGTTGTAAGATAATTTTTGATTTGTTAGATAGGTATTAGGTTATGATTAATCAATAAGTATATAGGAAATTTTTATTAAGAATATTTTAATAATTTTAAAAAATATTATTTTAATCCAAAAAGAATTTTAATTGCTTAAGGGAGAAAGTGTTTTTTTTTGTTTATTTTAAAAAAGGGACTTTCATCAACATAATAATAATAATAATAATAATAATAATAATAATAATAATAATAATAATAATAATAATAATAATAAGCGATGGATTAGAAGAGGTGAGGTGGATTTTAAATATAAATTCTTATATATAAATACCAATTTTGAATCAACAATAGATGGTAAGTTGGTAAGTGATTTATGATTATATTATAGAATTTTTATTAAAAAATTTAAATTATACGCTACTAAGTAATCTTTTCTTTCCCTGTTTCTCTTACTTTTTTCTTCATAAATCCAAATTTTGATTTCACGATTTCACTCACTTAGTCTGAATAAGGAAATTGCGTTCAAACACAAGGCTACCAACTTAAATAAGATGAAACCATTTATGCATGTCATAAATAAACAACCCCCATGAGCACTTGAGGTTGAAGCAATTTTCTTGCCACTTCAATCTTATTCTAAGAAGCTGGCCAACCAAGCATATAGTAAGGTATTTGGTGCTCCTATATAATCAACTTACATGCCTAAATGAAATAAAAGACATAGAATAACAAAGAGCTACCAAGAGGAAATGTTTTGCTTTGCAAATGCATTACAAAAGCTCATCTACAAGGGATTTCCCATTAAACTTTTCCACAGTTGACTTAATGGATGAAATAGTCTTGTCCATTTGAGAACATTCGAGCTTAAGCACCCTCAACCGAGCTTCTATTTCTGCAACACGTTCCCTGGCATCTTCTGCCTCCTTTTCCTTTTGAGCTAAAACCTCCAACTGAGATTCTAGTTCTTTCCTTGTTGACTCCAAAGAACGCTTGTGGTTGGATTTTGTTGTCTCAATCGTGTGACGCTGAGTAACAAGCTCGATGACTTCTAAGAATTCATTGAGTATGCTACGCAGCCAGGTGACATCAATATGTACGGATTCTACATCCTTGAGAACAGCCAACATTTCTTTCAGTTTTGCTTTTGTCAGTTGCTGGAAGGAAGTAGAGCGCAACTCTTGAACCACGGAGCACAGGCACTCTAAGTAATAAGCACGAATTGAAGCTGATTCTAGCTGGCAGTTAGCTGCAATGTCCCCATACTTGTTGAGAATTGACTGCAGAGTGGAAGATACACTTGATCGCACAAGGTATTTTCCAACCGACACACATGAATCTGAGATTACAGACTGGACCTCTTCCTCATCACTGCCTTCTGGAGCTCGGAGAATGCCTGAGAAACTAAAGGTTGAACTATTAGTGGCATCTCTTCCATCCTCAACATTTTGATCTGGACCAGCCTGAGATGAAGCTTGAATCTTCTCAGCTTCTTTTACTCTGGTTGGGGTTGCACTAGCAGGCTGTCAAAGAGGAAAATGTGAGAGAGAAGTAACATGGATATGAATTTGAGAATCCGTAACCTTAGTGAGAGTGTGTGCACACACAAGTGACAGAGAGAGAGAAGAAACCATGATATTCTCAGATGCAGGCACTAATCGAGAGGATTGAACTGGTCCCTTTTCAAAAGACTGATTTCGAGAGTAAGTTTCTTCAGAATGTTGCTCGGAAGAAGAAAAGGATCCACCATTCTCTAATTCCACTTTCTTCATAGAAAAATGAGAACGAGGTGACCTAGTATCCACAGGGACATTGTTGAGCGGTCTTGGGGTTGTTGGCTCAGAATAGGATCCCTTCTTTTTCTTGCCAAAGGATCGGGAAACCTCGAGGATTTTGGAGCCTGCAATAAGAATGAACCATACCAGTCAGGAATAACCATAGTTGGAAACGTTCTTTTTGCTACACCTCTCTGATCATATAAGAAATAGGAGAAGGAAAATGAATAAAAATATATGTTTAGAGAAAAAAAGTCAACAAACTAGTACACAATTCAAGCAGTCACTAATTCATCTGAAATCGAACCAAAACCAAATCATGAATTGAACTAAAAAAATTCAAAGGCGGCTTCTTCAAATTTCTTGATGAGACTACCAATTGCTAAAATGAAACCTGATAATTCAGTAATTCGTTCTTTCTACACTACTAAAGCCGCGGATCAAGTCAAAGAAGAGTACTTACCTAACTTCTTTTTATCCTTTCGCGTTTCGCCTTTGGCAATTCTTTCTAAACAATTTGCACCACATTCATGGTACGGATTAGCAGAATTAACACAATCAGGATGTACCCTTGCGTGTTCATCCATCTCCTTGTTCGTTCACTTAACACCACCAAAAAAAAAAAAAAAACAAAGAAGAGATTAATACAAGCTCAAAGATCATATCTTGCTTCGCACTTGCAATTCCTAATCGGAAAAGCCTCTAACATGCTACTTCATTTCATAAACAGAGAAAATCAAATCCTTACGAAATTATAAACAAATGTTAAACCATAGCTAAAAGAGTAAACCCATACAGATATGAACTAAATTATACATGCAGCCAAAAACACAAAGTCAAAAAGAAAAAAATAATGAGTTTGAAAAGTGTTTTGGTTCAACCACCACCCTAGCAGTTTATGTATGGTTTAGTCTCAATAGTAAACTCTTCTCGAAGCTACAAGCACCCACTTTCATAATCAGAATCAACTAGATTTTTACAAGTGGGCACGAAAGCGATAAAAGAAGAAACTATGCACTAATAACATGTTAAAAAATAAGGGGTCCATCAAACCTAAAATCAATCCGCAGTACATGGGTAAACGTTATTATTTTCCTTTCAAAATACGGCATTCAGAAGAATCAGAACTTCACTAAACCAGACTCGATTTCTTAATCTTGGTTATAAAAAAAAAAAAAAACGAAAGGAAAACACAGAAGACCGACCAAATAACATAAGGAAGATCACACGAAGTAAACGACCACCTTCACTATTTCCTATCCTTTCCCGCCAACCAAACGGAGGAAAAAAGAAGAAGAAGAAGAAGAAGAAGAAGAAAAAGCAATGAAATTTATGCCAAAGAACGAAAATTCAGGCTTACCAAAAAACCCACAGATGAAAAAAAGATGAAGCAAAATACAGTGAAGCATAGACAAACGGAGAGCAATTAGAAGAAAAGAAAATCAAGAAATTCATATTAAATATACCAAATATTTCAGTTCATCAAACATACCCCAGATGAAAATCATGCAGAAACACCCATATGGGCATGAATTATAAAAAAGAAAAAGGTAGGAGAAGGGAAAGTTACCAGAAGAGATGAGAGTGGAGAAAATAACGGAGAGATGGAGATGTGTGTGAATCAGAGTTCGCCTTGGAGTACAAAGTGTTTGACTAATTGAAAAGTGAAGTTACTCAATGGGATTGTCGTGAATTGACCGTCGGTTAGTTTTTGAAAAGTGGAATCTTGACGAGTTTTCCGGAAGTCTTGATTGGTATAAAGGAGACGGCGAGAAAATGTGTGGGTGGAACTTTGGACGGGGCCTGAGTTCGGTTGACGAACCTAACTATTAACTCTCCGCATCAATGAACGGCAATTTGACGACCAAACTTGTGTTGCCTAAACAAACGTGGATCATGTACCAAAAAAAAAAAAAAAAAACAAACGTGGATCATCCATACCAAAAAAACAAACGTGGATCATGACCTTTTTCTCGATCCCGCTTTTTTATAGTGTCTTCAGTATTAAATTATAAAATACAACCATTGAATGGGTTGATAAGTTCTTTATAATTTAGTTCAATTAAAATTATGTAAAATATTTTATTTTATTGTTATTGGTTTTTTTTTTATTAATCAAAAGAGTATAATGTATATATTTATAAATTTTGATTTGAAATTAAAATTAATGTTGCAGCACTAAATGACTAATTTTTGGTATATAAAATAAAATTTAAAAGCTTACAATTATTGAAGAAAGTTTGTTAACCTAATGACTCAATAATTTAATGTAAGATTTTTCCACCATAATAAAGGGTTTGATTCCCTTTCTCAGCCCCACCCACCACCCCAACCACTTCCCTGATAAAAAAAAAAGAAAAGAAAAGAAAAAAGCTTACAGTTATTTTGAAGAGTAGTGCTAGGGGCACTCACCTCCTACACTCTCCGAACAACACAAGCCTTTTTATTGGGGCACGCAAACTTGCTTTTAAGTTATGAAATGATCACCTTCTCAAAACCAAAATAATGTGAAGTAAT